TGTGCTTTTACCAATGTTGTTGAAGAATACTATTCCTATAGTCAATCTGTGAGACTAATTTTGCTCCACCTAGCATATTTGGTGAGCGAAATTTGACATGGAAGGCCGTACTGACTAAACCCTCTTGTATATTTGGTTTACTTTATGAATAATTTATTTTGTTCTTGGATTTAAGATTGGTGTTTGGATGTTACTATTATTCTCAAATAAGAGTTAATTAATGAAAATTACCACATGTGCCTAATACAATTAACTCATGCTTAGGTATGTTTTGTGGGGATGTTAGCAGTATGGTTCTATGCTAACTTCATACCTAATCATCCCCTGACAACCTTTCAGGCTTATTTAACCTGATTGTGGGGGCATGGCACTGCCCTATATTGTCCAATGGTACTAATTTTACCATAAAGGGAAGCCGTATACTCACTCGTTCCGGAAGAACGCATTTTGAGCTTTAAGGATATTCGAGAGCATTATTACCATATTGAAACCAATGTCAAAAATGAAGTAAAATTCCTTGGCTTATTACCATATTGCACTTCCTATGAATATAGCCAAAAGCATATTCTAGAGAAGATGGAACGCTTAACGAGTGGATTACACCCATTCAAGCCCAATATGTGGCTGGTCAGAAGCCCGAGATTCCAAAAGAATTTTCGCTATGGATGTATGTTTGGGATATCTAGGATGATTCATGATGTGCAGTTTTGGGCATCCTCTTACCAGAAGTAAAAACATCATCCTTGGAAGTGTATCATGCCTTAGCACCCTCTATATTTTCTACAAACACCATCCATCTTTTCTACAAAGGATTCAAAGGGACATTTATGGACTGATTTAACCACCTTGGGGACCATTTAGATACTTTATGGTATTGGTTGATGCATTTGCATGTTGGTCACACGTGTGGCTGTTGTCCACCAGCTGCATTCTCCACACTGGTGGCTCAGATTAACAAGCTCAAGGCTCACCACCCCGATTATCTGATCAAATCTATTCGATTGGATAAGTTGGAGAATTTACATCAAAAATTTTTGATGGATATTGCCTGTTAGTTGGGTTTAGAAGTTGAACATTCAGTATCCCATTTTCATACCCAGAATAACCCATCAGAAGTATTCATTAAACGCCTTGAAATGATTGCACGATCGATTGGTCATACGTACCAAGTTCTCGATCTCTGCTTAGGGCCATGCAATATTGCAAGCACCCATGTTGGTCTGCCTGAGGCCCATCATGACCCAACCTTATAAAACATATGTTAGTTGGTTACCAGATACGAACCCGACATATAGCATTTATGCGTCTTTGGTTGTGTGGTCTATGTGTCATTTGCAACACCCTTACGTACAAATAAAATAGGTCTTCATAGAAGGATAGAAATTTATGTCGGTTATGATTGTCTTTCTAAAATTCGTTACTTAGAGCCTTTGAAGGGCGATATCTTTACCACTCATTTTGCGGATTGTCACTTTTATGAGACAGTCTTCCTTCCGTTAAGGGAAGATAAGAACGTCAACGTTCCTTAAGAACGACACAAATTATCGTGGACGTCCATATTATGTTGCATCTTGATCCTAATCTAGATCGTTAGAGTATAACCAGACATTTCCTCTGATCTAGCAAAAGTGACGATATCACATATACTAGCTGTAAATGTGCCTACAATGATGAATGTACCAAATGTACGACAGACGTTCATCCCCGAAAGCAGGAACACCACTACTGTGGCCAACCCTCGTACATTGGTGGCTAGCCAATCAATCTGTCCTGCGCCAGAAGCGTGGCAGATCACTTAGTTCCAGGTTCATCTCCCTAAAAGTATAGGAACATGGCACGAACGAATCCACCCCTCAATCACTGTCTCAATCATTTCCGTCTTATGAGATTAGATCCGGGTTACTCCCGAGATCTAAAGTTCTTGGTCCAGTATACTAGTTTGGATGATATATGGAATTGGAATGAGATTATCATAAATGATGTTTCATTTATATGAAAACTACAGACATGAATGAAAAGCGACGATAACGAACTGCGTTCTGTTGATTAGTGTCAACGTATAACTGATTGGTCAACCAGAAGAATCAATCCATGACAAATGAGATAAATGAAATAGTGCAATATGACGTCTTGTGGCGCAAAACTTCTTTTTATATGTCATGTGATTGATTGCAGCATTACTAACGTGGTTGTAGTATATCTGGGATCCGGATACAAAACCTACATGAAGTTTCCAAAGTACTTACATGTACTGATTTAAATAGTTCTAGACCATAAGGACACCCTCTCAGTTCTGATGAGGCCTTCACTTTGCGGATGCAGAACTATCTGGGTGGATGTGGTATACCCGTCTAAGTGAATATTTGATTAGTTAGGGATATATGCCCTACGTGTACAAAATCCGAAATTGCTAGAGTTGAGAAAACTGAAGTTTCGAGCACATCCACGCCATTACCTTGACCTGAAGTTTCCAGCTAGTTCTAATGGTATTCTGGTCCACCAGTTGAACTAGACTCAGAAAGTGTTACATCAAATTATACCCTGATCGTTTGTACGCTAGATGGAAATGAGACCTTTACGGAGGGTATGGAGCATAAGATTCTATATTGGAACGGGATGCGACCATATATAAGTACCATTGGCGTTTGTTATACTTAGCTCAAATGCACTAGATCAAACATCTTATGTGCTGATAATCTTTTTGCATAAAACAACACTGTACCTACACGCCATCACCAAATTGGTGTTAAAGACATTTTTCTATTACTACAAATTTGGGCTTACCTATCCCTATGCATCTTAGAATAGATCACACCCCTTTGATCTTCAGAATGATGCCTACCTTGTGGGATTCGTTGAATCAGACTATTTATCTGATCGCACAAGGTACGTTACCGAATGGTTATGTCTTTATCGTTAAGGAACACCGCAATATCTTGGAGGTCCGTGATATAGACATTTAGTTGTGAAACCTTTGAATTGTTCCAAGACTCATTGTATCTCATCACGTGAAAGATATGATCGAGAACTCTTGTTGAGCATATTTGAACTCTCTGTGATTTTCATCCATCGTTGGCTCTCAACAACGATCCATGAAGACAACGCCTTGTCTATCGACCAGATCATGATAGATCTAATAAGTCAACGCCAAACATATTTTGTCTACATAATCATAAGCATCAGAAGATTGAACTCAAGCAGTGTGATCTAGACAACCTTGCTAGGCTTGGCAAACAGGTCATGTCTGTTGTGTTTGTGTAACACCTGTTATCTTAATAGGTTATGTCATGTCACACCTGTTACCTTAACGGGTCATTAACAGGTTGAGTCATTTTATCCAACAGGTAAAATGACCCAACCTGTTATGACTTATTAAGATTTTTTTTTTTTTTTACCACATTGCCACATAAATATTACTTCAAAAATTTAAACACACATTTGTCGTTATGTACTACATCTACACTCCAAAATAAGAGCTTAATAAAAAAGCATCAATACACTACTAGTCTACTACAAAATATAAAATGTGAAAGGATATGCAAAATGAAAGAGTTTTTATTTTCAAGGTTGTGAAGCCTTTCTCAGAAGTTAAAACCTTACCAATGAAACTTAAAGCTTGCATGTTATTCCTTTTACAAAATTCATACCCTTAACGTGTGCTTGACTATGTGTGGTTTTCTTGTAGCTACCAGAGTCGAGTCGAAGAAAGTGGATGGAGGAGGATGCAAGAGAGATGAGCGGATTCAAGGAGAACGGGGCAAAGTGTTGAAAGTCTGGAGAGATTGAGAGTGAATGACAGAAAAGGATAATCTGGGCTCCAACCTAATGTACAATGGGCGGTTGAGATTAAATCTCAGTCGATCCAATGGTCATCAATTTTCTAAATTTAATTTAATATATATATAATTATTATATTATATTTTTAGGGGTATAAAATTATTAAATTAATATTTTGCTTATCGTGTATCATGTTACCCATATGTATACCCAGACCAACCCTTTATCTTAACAGGTGCTTATCAGGTTACCCGATAACGACCCGATTAGTTACTGTGTTGATCCGAAAACCTGTTAATTCTCTGTCGTGTCGTGTCGAGTTAACAGATCGTGTCAGAAATTGCCAGACCTAAACCTTGCCGACCTTTGCACGATGTCACTATTGAAGTCTACCTTCCAGAAGCTTGTCCGAGGAATTGGTATGCCTAACTATTCATATGCAATGCTTGTAATTCTCATTTGGAAGTTCTATTAAACTCAGAGGGAGTATCCAGAAGTATACTCACCCGACCTTAATGTACTATTTTTCTCTATGCTTAGGAGCATTTGTCCTACTAGGTTTTTGCTACTTAATTAGGTTTTGACGAGGCACCCATCCTGGGTTGGTCATACCCTTGTGTACATTCTACTTATGTCTCGAAGACGCATAGTTTTGACTTAATGCAACTTCTTACCTTTCTCCTTTGACAATGGATTTTTGTCCCACTTTAGGTTTTGTCGTAGCGAGGTTTTATGAGTTTTACCACCCATGCATTATTCTGTTTGTTTTGAGACTCGCATTCATTACCTGTGCCGATTAGGCGAGACGACTTCATCAACTGCTTCTACATTTGCCTGAAGATGTGATGCGTCATCTACTTGAGTATTTGCACACTCAATGGAGAGTGTTGTGACATATGTTCTAATATATATTGTGATTGTGTAAATCCTAAGTAGAGATAGATTAGGAATCCTTTGGAATCTAGAAGATCTTTTCTAATAGACTTTTATTACTTAGAGAGCAAGTTTATTTCTTTCTTATCGCTATTAATAAAGAAACAATGACTAAAAATATTATCCACACTACTTCTCTCTTTGCTTTAGCTACTGTTTATGCTTTGATACAGTATTAAGTTCGTTTTGTCCTTCCCGGCCACGTGTCTTTCATCGTTTGTTTCTCCTGCTTCGACCGCATCTTTTTTGTTTTACCTTTCCTCTTCGTTTTTCGCCTTCATTAGGCTGCTATTTTCCCCTCTTGGCCAGCCCCTCTTTTGCTCTCAAATCCTTGCTCTTTCTTTTGCAAAATAGTCTCAGAAGAGATCCCGGGTTTAATTTTTTTGGGGGATTTAGTTTCAAGTCTTTCGCAGTATCGAATCCTTTGTTGTTCGGCGTTTTGTTCTCATCTTGCGGTCGTCGGGGCAGCAGCTTTAAGGTAAGTTTGTTTTTAATGATTTATCCTCATTTTACGATGTCTGGGCTAACAAATTTAAGGTCTTTATTTTTCTTTTTGCTGCGGATCTGCAGGTTTTGACAAGTTTTTTGTGAAATTGGTGACTAATGGTATGCTGCCTCTTTAGATTGTCGGCAATCAAATTATACTGAGCTTGGGTATGTTTAAAACAACTGTCTGATTTTCGATTCTAAGTTTGTAGCTTCAATTTCCATATAAAGTTTCCATTTTTCATGATTTCTTGAATTTGGGTTTTAAACAATGGAAATACTGCCAGATTCTTATCATTATGTGCAAATTACTGGTGATTTGGACTGGTGCCTGACATTTAGAGAATGGCTCGCAGCTTTAATTTCTTTTTCCTTCATTATTACTGTTTTCAAAATTTATACTGCTGGGTATTGATAATTTGTAGTCTGTGAGGGCTTCAGTCTGTTGGAATTTTGAATGGTTATTACTTCATCGGAATTTGGGTGGTCCAACTTTTGAATTAGAAGAAACCCATTTGATTAATATTTTTGGTGGATTGGCTCTCTGTGCTTTCTCTGTTATTTCTTCCCCAGTTGAAAAGTGGAAGCCCCAACTTTAAGCTCAGAGCTTGAATTTCTCAATCATTCGTTTCTCTGCACTCTCATCAGTCACTCGATCCTCTCTCTGAGGAACTGGGTAATTTTCCAGCTCTATCAAGTAATACTCCATTTAATTGCTTAATTGAGGTTTTTTGTTTCTCCTTTTCGCTCTTTCATCAGTTCATTGGCTTTGATGTTGGGCCTAAGTAAATGGGAAATCATTAATTGGCATTGTTCAAGATATAATTCTGTGTTTTTGGATTTGTGAAACGATTTGGCTAATGAAGAGAGTGGTTTTTTGTATATAGATTACACACATGTGGGGTGATCTATCTTTCCTAATAAATTTCCCATCTGTTTCAGGTATAAATTTTTCTTATCTATTTGCAAACAAGTTTTGATTTTGTATTATTTACATTCCTGCCATTGCCAAAAAGCATGGGCTGCAGAGACAAAGAGAGGGAGATAGGCGGGGGATGGCAGGGAGGGGAAGGGAGAGGGAGGAGTGAGGTTGCCATAAAAGGAGGTTAAGGTTGATTTTTTGTCCTCAAATCAAGGGTTGATGTTGGGATTGAGGGATGGGTTGAAATTGCCACTAGAAGCCTAAATTAATGGGTAGCTATCGGTGATTGAGAGATTGATTTGAGAAGGATGAGAGAGAGACAGAAAGACACCCACTGCTTTCATTCGTGCTTGATTTCAGATTTGCTCCAATATCTGTGCTTAGTAATATTTCTGCAATTTGTGTTATGCTTTCGCTCCAATACCTCATGTCTATTAATTTTTGTGCAATTTTGGTGTTTGTGTGTCTCTGTCTTTATGGTTCTTATATCGTTGAAATCATGTTCACTTATTGTGTATTGCTCAAATACCTCTATTGGCTTCTGCGGAGAGGTTCGAGTTCTTTACCGAACTGATTTCATGTCAATTCTATCTCATATTTCTAATGGTTTTGATTAGTTCTTATTATCCCTTCACTGTATTCAAAGATCAATTGTTGTTTATTAGTGTTTGTGCAAATTGGACGGAACTGATGTTTCTATGTTTCTTCTTAGATTCAACTGATATCATGGTAATTCTGCACCTGACCTCTATTGCGTATCTTAATTTATAATCCTTTCACTTACTCATAGCCAATCGTTGGAGCTTGGTACTAAATCAGGTGAATTACAAATGTAAGATCCTCTAATTTCATCTTTTGTGGTTTCAGCAAAGATAATGAATCTTCATAAAGCATCTATTTTTTTGCAGCATAATTCAGTTTCTCAGTTCAGTTTTCAGGTGTAGGTTATCCTCATTTTCCAGTTCCATCAGGGACTACAGGTGTTTATTTTGGTGTCTTTCTTCAGTTCTAAGTCCTTCGCATGAATGTGTGCTGAAATGTAATGTAAAAAACTAGTATGTGCTACTTCTCAGTTTTCTATTTATATGTTTTTGGAATTTTCGGGTGATGGAAATCAACCTGGGTTCATGTTAAAACGATATCATAATTTTCGTTATGGTAAGAACTCAGAACTTAGAACCTTTTTTTCCTTTATCTTTTCCCTTTTTGAAGTTAAGGAATTGAATTACTTTTCTATACCTTTTTGTGATCATTCACTGATAATTTGTTAATTGTTTTAATATATATGACGTTGGATTTCTACTTTCTTAGATCCATTCTCATCTTCAGAGATTGCTTGATTTCATATTGTCAAATAGTTTATGAATTTCCATATTAAGTGCGTCAATATATTCTTGCGGTAATTTAATTAAATGTGATATAAGTTGAGGTGTATATACCTTTGGAACACAATTTTTCACACAATTTCTAATCCCGCAACAACGCGCAGGTAAAACTTTGTAGTTATTTCTATTTTCACCCTCACAAACTCTCTCTCTCTCTCTCTCTCTCTCTCTCTCTCTCTCTCTCTCTCTCTCTCTCTCTTTCTCTCTCTATATTAAAGAGGCACATATAGCACATATATAGTTTGTTGTATTTTGATTACAAGTCTGTTACAACTGTCCATGTAACTAATTCCTCAATTAATCAGGTGTAATTAGTTACTAAGCTATTTTTCACATGTATATATAAACCGTTGTAATTTCTTATTCATTAAGAAATGAGAAATCCAAGAGTCATTTCTTATATGGTATCACTCGCCTCTTTGCTCACGCACCGATCCTAGCTTCCTCTACAATCTTTGATTTCTCCTCCCAAATCTGGTTTCTCTTAGCAAAACCTTGATCGACAATGGTGTCTTCTACTTCTTCGCCTGCAAATCCAGAAGTTTTTGCTCAGAATCCCTCTCCTCTTTCATCAAATCCCACTCCGATAAACCCTAATTCTTCGATTTCTTCAATTTCCATCCAAAACATCAGTTGTATGGTTCCTACAAAGCTTAAGAGGGACAATTATCTCATCTAGAATGCTCTTTTTGCTCTAATCTTCTGGCGTTACAAACTTACAGGTATCATCGATGGATCGGAGACATGTCCACCGCCTTTTCTTCTCAATCAATCCGGTACAAGTACTGCAGTTCCTAACCCTGATTTCGAGATCTGGTTTGAAAAGGATCAAAATATCCTCATTTGGTTGAATTCCATTCTCTCTGAAGATCTTATTCCATTCACCGTCGGCGTCACCTCCTCTCGAGAATTATGGCAGATTCTTGAACAGCGTTTTGGCGGAGTCTCGGCGGTGCACATTCACCAGCTCCGATCGCATCTTCATGCGATTCAGAAAGGAGATTTGTCAATTTCTGATTATCTGCAGCCTATCAAAGGCATCTCTGATGCTCTTATGGCTGCAGGTGCACCGGTGTCGGAACCCGATCTCATTGCTATTACCCTAAATGGCATCTCTGATGATTACGAATCTTTTATTAATTCGATAATGCTTCAAATTTCATCACTTCCTTAGATGAACTTCATGGATTACTCATGAACAAAGAGCTTTTCATGCATCGAAAGAAGAAAGCTCCGTCATCGTCTCTCACTGAACCATTTCAAGCATTTGCTGCGCAAGCTTCACTTCTCCAGCAAGGTCTCTTACCTACGCCTCCTCCCTCACAGGCATATGTTCTTCAACATTCTACCTACAGCAATCGCAACAATTTCCAGCACAATAATCGTGGTCGAAGCAATTTTTAGAAGCACAATCGAGGCCGTGGCAACTATTGTGGAAATTATACCAACTCTGGCCCTGGAAATGGTTCTTTTCATCATAATCCTGGTAATTTCAATCGCAATTCTGGTGGATTCAATCGTCCTTCTGGCCATCGATCTCCCTGTCAAATATGCAATTCCTTTGATCATGAGGCTCTTGACTGCTATGCTCGAATGAACCATGCTTTTGCTGGAAAGATTCCACCTGCCAAGCTTGCTGCTATGTGTGCCACTACTGCCTCTTCTTCTCAGCCTACCTAGCTTCTGGACTCTGGTACTACTGCTCATGTCACCAATGATATCTCAGTAATATCTTCTCCCATTCCGTATTCTGGTGAAGACAAGGTTTATGCTGGTGATGGCCAAGGTATGCCAATTCACCATACAGGTTCTTCTATTCTCCAAACACCACATGCTGCCTTTCGGTTACATAATGTTCTTCATGTGCCATTGATGAAATTCAATTTGCTCTTTGCATATCAATTTCTAAGAGACAATTATTGCTTTTTAACTCTTGATTCTGATGGTTTTGTCATCAAGGACCGTTCCACTGGGAAGATGCTTTTTCGCGGCCCAGTTAGGGATGGTTTCTATCCTCTGCAAGGTCAGCCTTTCCAAGCTTCATATTCTACACTTGTTAGCACTCAAGCTTCTTTACAACAATGGCACAAATGCCTCGGTCATCCTTCCACATCTATTTTCAGAAGGATTTTACATACCAATAAGCTTGTTCCTCATACTTCAGCTTCTGTTCAGTTTTTTTGTGCAGACTGTGCAATTGGTAGAAAGCACAAGCTCCCATTTTCTTCTAGTACTACTATTGTCTCAGATAGGTTGGACTTAATTCATGGTGATGTCTGGGGTCCCTGTCCAGTTTCATTTGTTAGTGGCTATAAGTACTATGTACTCTTTGTGGATGAGTATAGCAAATACAGTTGGATGTTTCCTTTACAACACAAGTCTGAAGTCTTCTCTACTTTTGTAACTTTCAAAGCATATGTTGAAAACTTACTTGGCAATAAAATCAAGATTTTTCGAACAGACTCAGGGGGTGAGTTCACTGGTTCTGCTTTCACCTCTTTCTTGCCTCAACATGGTATTTCTCATCAGTATAGTTGTCCACACACATCTGAGCAAAATGGGTGTGTGGAACGCAAGCATAGACATCTTACTGAGACTGCACGGACACTTCTTGTTACTTCCAAAGTTCCTCACAAGTTTTGGGTAGAAGCCTTTTCTACCGCAATGTACCTTATCAATCGCATGCCTATTTCTGGATCTTCTCAATCTCCATGGGAAATTCTTTTCAACAAGCCTCCTGATTATTCCAAGTTAAAAGTCTTTGGTTGCTGCTGCTACCCTTGGCTCAAGCCATATATGCAATCCAAATTGGATGGTAAAAGCAAACCTTGTGTGTTTCTTGGTTATAGCCTTTAACACAAAGGTTATTGATGTTTAGATATGTCTTCTAACCGAGTCTATATTTCACGACATGTTCTCTTTAATGAAGATCATTTTCCATTTCATGATCTTTCTTTTCTTCACCATTGTTCTTCAAAGTGTTCTTCTTCTGTCCCCTCCACTCTGTCACCTGAGTTCTCCCTGCACTTTCCTCAGTCAAGCCTCCTGCAACACCATCTTCTTCAATGTTCTCTTCAGGACCATGCTCAACCTTTTCTCGAGACACCTCCCCATCTTCTGTCTCTCAATCTCCATCTACACAGCCACCTCACAACTCTTCTTCATCTCCCGAGCACTCTCCTGCTCCACCTTCAACAGTTTCAGTTCCAGCAAACACTCATCCCATGCTCACCAGATCTAAAGCAGGCATTTTCAAGCCTAGAGTGTTAGCAGCCACAAAACATCCTATTGATTCCAATTCATTTGTGTCTACTACTTATTTGCAAGCCTCCAAGTATGATCACTGGCATAAAGCCATGCTTGAAGAATTTCAAGCTCTCCAATCCACAGGCACTTGGACTTTTGTCCCTTCATCTCCCAATCAAAACTTGGTAGGCTGCAAATGGGTTTTCAGGATCAAACGGAAACCTGATGGTTCTATTGATCGGTACAAAGCCTGTCTTGTTGCTAAGGGCTTCCATCAACAAGAGGGTATTGATTTCAAGGAGACTTTCAGTCCGGTTGCTAAGCTTGTTACTATTCGCATTCTTCTTACACTGGCAGTGCAATATGATTGGTTTTTACACCAACTTGACATCAGCAATGCTTTTCTCCATGGCAACCTTCAAGAAGATGTTTTTATGCAACAACCCCCAGGTTTCATTGATCCATTCCAACCCTCCTATGTTTGTAAACTTCAAAAATCCCTCTATGGCTTGAAGCAAGCCCCTCGGGCATGGTATGATAAGCTGTTTCAAGCTTTGGTATCTCTTGGTTTCACAAACTCCAACTCTGATTGTTCTTTGTTTGTGAAACTTCAACCATTCCCTGTCCTCGTTCTTGTTTATGTGGATGATATCCTGGTGACTGATCCTAATACCTCTCTGTGTCAACATTTTATTCAGCAACTTTGTTCCTTATTTCCTATTAAGGATTTGGGTCCATTACACTATTTTCTTGGCCTAGAAGTTCACAGATCCGATGAGGGTATTTTCCTGTCTCAAAGCAAATATGCTTTAGATCTCTTAGTCAAGACAAACATGGCAGGTTGTAAGCCCTGTTCTACTCCTCTCGGAACTCAGAAGCTTGATCATGTTGGAGATCTTTTGGCTGATCCTAAAGACTATAGGTCTATCGTCGGGGCATTACAGTATCTAACTTTGACAAGACCTGATCTTTCCTTTGCCGTGAATCACGTCTGTCAATTCCTTCACTGTCCACGGGATTCCCACTTTCAAGCAGTTAAAAGGATCTTACGGTTCTTAAAAGGCACATTTGATCAAGGAATGTGGTTTAAGAAGAGTCCCTTGCATCTTACTGCTTACTCTGATACCGATTGGGCAGGTTGTATGTTTGATCGCAGGTCCACCAGTGGATATTGTATATATTTGGGCAGCAACTTGATTAGTTGGAGTGCCAAAAAGCAACCTACAGTTGCTCGTTCTTCTACAGAGGCTGAATATCGATCCCTTGCCCACACAGCAGTTGAACCCACCTGGATATGTAAAATTTTTAGAGATGTTGCTTTTCACCTCACTACCATTCCTACTCTTTGTTGTGACAATGTTTCTGCTATTTCTCTGGCCTCAAATCCAGTATTTCATGCCCGTACAAAACACGTGGAAATTGATTATCATTACATTCGTGAACTTGTTCTTGCCAAGCTGCTTCAAGTGCAATATCTCAATACTCAGTACCAAATTGCTGATATCCACACCAAATCTCTTTCTAAAGCTCGGTTTCAATATCTTCAATCCAAGCTTTGCCTCGGCCCTCCTCCATTCAGCTTGAGGGGGTGTAAAGAGGCACATATAGCACATATATAGTTTGTTGTATTTTGATTACAAGTCTGTTACAACTGTCCATGTAACTAATTC